ACATAGGCTCCTTTTCCCAGTTCGCGGTGAGCTTCCCATCTCTGGCATTTTTGTTGCTGATGTCTGTTCTCCTTAGTACTAGGTCGCCATTCTGAAAGGACCGAGGTCTGACCTTCTTGTTGTATCTTGCCAATACGAGGCATTTTTCCATCATATCTTTGTATCTGACATTTTCCCTGTTTTCATCTACTAGGTCGAGCTCTACGATCAGTGCTTTGTTGTTTTTTTTCTCACTTCCTTACAATCTTTTCACCCTTCTCTAAGACGCTTCTTCGATCTTAACCGGGATCATTGCCTCGCAACCGTAGGTCAGCTTGAAGGGGGTTTTCTCTGTAGAGATTTGGGTACTCGTTTTGTATTCCCATAACACGAGGTGTAGTTGTTGTACCCAGTTTCTCTTGGCATCGAACAACCTTTTCTTGAGGTCGTCCACGATTACCTTGTTAGCTGCCTCAGCTTGTTCGTTGGATTGGGGATGCTCGACTAAAGCGAAATGATGCTTTATCTTGAAGTCGGCATCAACTATTGGAATCTTTTGTTAGTGAATTATATACCATTATTAGTGATTATTTCAGTCGAGATACCAAATCGGTTGACAAGATTTCTCTCGAAGGATCTCTGGACTTTTGCCGAGGTTATGGTAATGAGGGGCTCGACCTCTATCCACTTAGTGAAATAGCCCACTGCTACTATTAACCATTTAAGTTATACTTTAGCCGCAATGAAGGGCCCTAACAGGTCTATTCGCCACTTGTAGAACGACCAAGGTGTCGTGATGGTTTGTAGCTCTTCTGGGGGCGATGATGAATGCGTGCATGTTTCTGACATTGGTCGCATCTCTTGACATGCTCCTTAGCATCTGTTTCCATGGTGGGCCAGTGGCATCCTGCTCTAAGTGCTTCCAAGCTAATGATTTCCCCCTCATATGGTGTCCATAGATGCCCTCATGAATCTCGGTCAAGACGTATTTTGCCTAGCTTGGGTCCAGGCATTTGAGCATGGGCATATAAAATCCCTTCTTATACAATTGTCCTTCCACTATAGTATAACAAGCCAAGTTTCTCATTAGTTTCTTGGCTTTTAGAACCTCGTTGGGAGGGATTCCTTTTTCGAGGTAAGCCACTATAGGTCTTTTCCAATCTTCATTCTTGGTTATTAACATCACGCATATTGGCTCCGGGATATTCTGTTGTACCACGGTCCTGTGGTTTCCCGGGCTGTTTGTACTGTCGAGTCTTGACAAAATGTCCGCCCTGCTGTTCTCATTCCTCGGTATGTATTGGACTATAGCCTCTTCGAACTCAGCTAACAATTCCTTTACTTGTTAGAGGTATTTCATCATGAGGGGACCCTTAGTTTGGTATTTCCCTTCTACTTGTGAAGTTATGAGCTACGAGTCACTAAGTATCTTTATTCTTTTAGCACCGTGCTCCTTCGCCTGTAGTATTCCTGCTATGAAGGCTTCATATTCAGCTTGGTTGTCTGAGTTCAAAAACTCAAGGTGCAGTGAATGTTTCAAATACACCCCGTCGAGGCTTTCAATTATTACCCCGGCTCCCCTTCCTTTAAAGTTTGAGGATTCGTCTACATAAATCGTCCAAAGATTTTCTTTTTCTCGCGACCCCTTGATAGGGGTAAGCTCCAATATGAAGTCAGCTAACGCCTGAGATCTGAAAGTTCTGAAAGTTCAATAGCCCAGTTAATCATCCTTCTTGCTAGATCTGGCTTATGTAATATTTGTCTGATGGGCTGGTTGGTTCATACGACCACGGGATGCCCTTGGAAGTAAGGTCGGAGCCTTTTAGGCGTAGTGAGCAGGGCGAATGCCATCTTTTCAAGCTTTTGGTATTTAAGCTCGGGTTCTTGTAATGTCCTCCCTTCAAAATATCTTGGTTGTTGTCCCTTATTCGTCTCCTTTACTAGGGCGACATTGATTGCCTCTTCCCCCCACAGAGAGATATAAGATTAATGTCTCTCCGGGTTCATGCTTTGACAATACTGGTAGGGTAGTGAGGCATTTCTTTATTTCTTCAAATGCCATTTTGCAGTCCTCTCCCCATCCGAATTCAGCCTCCTTTTTCAGAAGTTTAAAGAAGGGGATGGATCTTTCAGCAGACTATGGTAGAAACCTTGTCAGGGTGGCTAATCGACCTGTCAATTGTTGAATTTCTCTTTTATTCTGGGATTATTTCATTTCTAGGACGGCTTTGCACTTGTCAGGGTTGACTTCGATTCCCCTGTTAGTAAGCATGAAACCCAGAAATTTCCCAGCTGGCACCCCGAAAGCACACTTGGCCGGGTTCAGCCTGATATGTCGAGCTCTCAGTTGTTCAAAAGTTTCCTTCAGGTCGGCCACATGTCTTTCAGCATGAACTGATTTGACAATCATGTCGTCAATGTAGACCTCCAAGTTTCTTCCAATTTGATTCTGAAAAAATCGGTTCATCATACTTTGATATTTTGCCCCCGACATTTTTGAGACCAAAAGGCATGACATTATAACAAAAAATTTCCTTCTCAGATATAAAGGTGGTCCTTTCATGATCATCTGGATGAAGTGGGATTTGGTTGTATTCGAAATACGCATCCATGAAGGACAGTAACTGAAACCCTAAAGAGTTGTCAACTAACTGGTCTATATTGGGCATTCGATACGAGTCTTTTGGGCAGACCTTCTCGAGGTCAGTGTAATCTACGCATATTCTCTATTTCCCACTGGGCTTCTTTACTATCACGATTTTGGAGAGCTATATGGTATATTGTATTTCTCTGATGAATCCGGCCTCTAATAGCTCGTCCACGTGCACGTTCAGGGCCTGGCGTCGGTCAAGGCCCATTTTCCTCTTCTTCTTGGAAATCGGCTTTGATCCAGGATACATTGAGAGCTTATGGCAGCAAAAGGTAAGATCTATTCTTGGTATCTCAGGTTCCTTCCATGCAAACACGTCAGAATTCTCGTTAAGAAATTAGACAAGTTGCATCTTCAACTCGGCTTCTAATCCTTTTCCGACCTTAGTGTGGCGCTTGCCATCTCCTCCCATGTTGATGACCTCTAATTCTCCTTAAGGCTCTAGGTGAGGTGCTTGAAGCTCCTCTCTCATATCTAGCTCAATCATGTGTATCTGATTTCCACATGGGTATACTGATTTCGCTTTGGATGAGACCTTTTCTCCTTCTCTGATTCTTGGGGGGTGGGGGATGGGCTGCCCTGAGATACTTTGAGTGTTTCGTAGTAACATTCTCTGGTTTCTTTCTGATCTCCTCTTATGGTGACGACCTCATTCTTTGACCCCGCCATTTTCAACGCTTGGTGTTTTGTGGAGACTAACATGTTCCACTCATGGACCGTAGGTCGACCAATTATGACGTTACAAGATGAGGTCGCATCTACTATAATAAAGCATACATGGGACTTGGTGGTTGGTGACAGTGGTGGTGATGGTAATGGTGGCGATGAGGGTGGTGGGAGTGACGTGTGATGACGATGGTGGCAGTGACGACAGTGGTTGTTATGATGGTGGTGGTGACAGTGATAGTGGTGGTGGTGATGGCAGCGGTGGTAGTTATGGTGGTGGTGATAGTGGCATGGTGGTAGTGATGGGTGGAGGTGGTGGTAATGGTGGCGGTGGCATCATGGTGGTGAGGGGTGGTGACGACGGCACTAGTGGTACGATGACGACAGCGATGATGGTGGCGGCAGTTGTGTCGGGATGATGGTGGTGGTGGTGATGATGGTAGAGGTGGAGAGTGATTGAGAGATATACATGTTTCTCGTTTTGTGCCCGGAAACTAAAAAGCAGAAAATTTTTGATTTTTTTTTCCGTTTCCCAGCACAAAAATTAAACCGGTTCATCCCGGGAACAAAAAAATAAATGGGTTTTTTACCAAACGAGTTTTCTATCCATTTCTGTTCTCGGGAACAGAAATTAAAAAAGAATTGATTCCGGGAAGGTTGTCATGCACACCATAAGTGTTTGTTTATATCATCTTTTTTTTAAGCTAGAAACTACTTATAAGTATAAATTAGGCCAAACAGGTTTTGAGAAAAACTCTTATAATGAAAAGTTCTTTTTTTTTATAATGAAGAAAAAAGCTAAAAACTAAAAGCTCTTATGAGGAGTTTTTTTAAGCTAGTATCTTGAAAAAAATATTAGGGGACGTTTGGTATAAAGTATTTTGTAGAATTTCCGAAAAACTGATTTTTTCTAAATTTTTAATTTTCGGATATTATCATAAACTGAATATTTGCATCATATTTTTTAAAATCGAGATTTTCGGATAATTTTTTTCTCTCTACTAAACGCTCCAAATACCACGATAATTTAGGAGGGGAGTGATAAATATCCCGATGTTATTTTGATATCACATGAGCTATTTTCATTCCCTGTAATAATTGTTATATATCTCAATCGAAAATGTTGGCTACATGAATTTTGATACTAAACACTATTTTTTCGAGTAATAATTAAAATTTCTCTTACAATTCTGAGATTGATTGTCATGTTCTTATTTTCTCTATATAAAATACAAATTTATTAATAGTTAAAATTTATTTGGAAATAATAAAAATTCAGATATTTTCAATAAATAACTATGGTTACAATAAAAGAATTCACTTACATAAATACAAAGCATATATGCTTAGCAAAGATGTTAAGTTATTATTATTATTTATAATCTATATCCCTCATCCCAATAAATACTAGCAATCTATTTTGTTGGATTAATACTTTAATATAATATATATTATTTTGAATAATAATAAAAGAAATCAATGTCCTTTCAGAACATAGATGGAAGACAAGGAGAAGAACAGACACCGAGTCACTGAGACACGTTTGTACTATATCGTTTAAGGTGTCATTGTTCTTGTCAAAATCCCCTTGTTGTGTGTGGCGGGAAAACATTTTGCACTGTGTCTGGGGTTTTATATATGAACTCTGCAACCACACACTCTTCACTTTAACAAACCCAAACGAATCCTCTACAACTATTTCACAATGTATTACTGGGTAGCCGCTAGAAACGTCGCCGTTTCATTTCCACGGTGGCGTTCCCTTTCACCCTTCCTTCGCTCTCTTCCACCTTCTACATTCATTTCATTCGTTCCCTCTCGCTTCCTCACTCAGTAATCTCTCTCTCTCTCTCTCTCTCTCTCTCTCTCCACTTTTTTTATATCAAATCATAAAATATCATCACATGAATATAGTATTTTATTATATTGTTATCTATTTGTAGCTATGATTTGTTTAGCTATCGATTATTTTTTTTTTTTTGAAATAATTAATTTCTTAAAAGTTTTTCTAAAATAAGCGAATTCAAACTTTTCTATTGAATGAATGTCTTGAAATTGGTAGAATGTGAATGGTATGCTTGTATACATATGTTTTGTTATTGTTGTGTTAGATGACAAGTTAAACACGTTGTCACGTTATCATTCTAAATTTGCAAAAAATAAAATGCTCTAATTTTTTTTTTTTATGTAATATTTTCTGGACTTGCCGAAATACTAATGATGTAACTTTCTATTCTGTTGTGGTATGGCATGTAAATTGTGAACAGAGTGAATGGACATGTTGAGAATGTACCGTGTTCTAAAGATAGGAAGGTTGTAAGGAGGAGTGGTAAAGTGACCAAGAAGCTCAAAGGACCAAATAATGTTTTAGATGATAAGGATCTTTCTCACATATGGTGGTGGAAGGAGGTAGGTCGCTTTAGTTTTTTTTTTTTTTTTCTTTTTCGGCATCTTGTTAAATTTATACTTGGAGGGCGAGCCTTGGAGCGGCGGTAAGGTTGCTCTTTGTGACTTGAAGATGTACAGGTTCAAGTGAGGGAAACAACCTTTTAGAAAAAATGCAAGAGTAAGGCCGTGTACAATTGACTCTCATCCCTACCCTCTCAAGTTGGGGGGAGTCTTGTGCACTGGGGTTTTCCCTTGTTAAATTTATACTTTGTTATTGTTGAATTTTATTGTTTTGATTATAAACAATGGAATCTTTTGAGAAAACCTTGCATTTTCTTTCTTATTTCCTTTCCAATTATGGCAGAGGATGCAGATGTGCAGAAAGCCTTCAACTGTCCAGTTGCTGAAAAGGCTTGAATATTCTAATTTGCTTGGCTTGGATTCTAACTTGAAAAATGGAAGGTGAGCACTTATGAAATTGAGGTTATTATTTTCTGCTTTTCCTTTTAATTTTTGTAACAGAAAATCGAAATCATTGATTGTTGGTTTTCATTCTTATCCATTTACACTGGCTATTGTTTCATGGAAGATCACAAATATTTTGAACTCCCTTATTGTCTATTTTAAGGGATGGTATAATTGTCAGAAAGTTGATGGAACATTCAATTTTCACTGTGTAGTCTGAAGGAAGGAACACTCAACTGGGAAATGTTGCAGTTCAAGTCCAAATTTCCTCGTCAAGTTTTGCTCTGCAGAGTATGTTATATTTTAGTTAGAAGGAAACACTGTTGCCAATTCTCAATAAGGCACACTGAAGTTAACTCCCCATTTCTACCTTTCATGGAGTAAATTATTTCTACCCTTCATGGAGTAAATTCGTATTCCTTTTTTAATATATATATATATTTATGCGCAGGTTGGGGATTTCTATGAAGCTATTGGAATAGATGCGTGTATTCTTGTTGAATATGCCGGTTTAAATCCCTTTGGTGGTCTGCGATCAGATAGCATTCCCAGAGCTGGTTGCCCTGTTGTGGTATTGACATTGCTGCTTATTTTTATCTTCTGTTGACAAAATTTTATATTGATGCCGTGATTGGTTATGTTTAATCTTATATTTATAAATGTTAGTGAAGCATACCAGAAGAAAAAAGTGGTCCAACTTTTGTCTAGTATATTTTTATACCAAGTGTTTGTGCAACAATAAACATATACAAATTCCATTCTATGAATTATGCTTGTGTTTGGATTGCTTTTCTAGGTTGAGCTTTTGTAAATGGTTTCTGAAAGTTTAATGAATATTTTGAGTGTTCATGTTTGCTAATGTAAGTGAGAGAAGGACATCAAGGGGAGGGGGGAGGGGGGAGGGAGAGAGTCTCTCTTTTCTAATTATTTTATGTAGTGAACTTATTTTTCCCCTAAAATAAATGTCACTTCAGTTGTGCTCAAGAATTATGTTTTTAATTTTATTTGCATCAAAAACAATAAATATGTACCTATTTTGATACAACAATGGTTCAATTTGGTTGTTGATTATATATTTAAGGATGTGCTTGGTCTTTTCTTTGATCACAGAATCTTCGACAGACTTTGGATGATCTAACACATAATGGTTATTCAGTGGTGAGTGCAGCAATTAAATGTTCTACATATTTTTTTCTCTTACTTATTTTAAATTTCATAATCCCATGACTGAATTTATCTTATCGCCTGTTGTCTGTGAGTCTGTATTATCCTTCAAAATGAAACTCAAAATGATTAGTTCCTGTTTATGGGTATAATATATGCTGTTAGTAAATTATTGTTATGATGTATGCCAGCTTACCTGTTTATGCATACATGTGCGTGTAACTTTTGGTCTTAACAGTGCATTGTGGAGGAGGTTAAGGGCCCAACTCAGGCTCGAACCAGGAAACGTCGCTTTATATCAGGGTAAGTACAACATTCTCTATAAGCTAGTGCCCTCTCTCTCTTTATGTTGGGTCAATCGACAGAGCTTGCTTTGGTTACAAGTGAGGAAAAGAAACCTCTTCTTTTTTTTTACAATGTTTGTTTTATTTTTTGGTAGAAAGTTGGTGATTTGTGGATATGTTTCTATGTGCCTTTTCTTTTTGGATAGGAGATGAAATCTTAACAGATAGAAAGGAGAAAATGGTATATGGATAGAGGTTAAGACCTCCTTAACAAACCTAAATCCAACTCAAAACCTAATATAAGCAAGATGGTTGCTGTATTTGGTTTTTGTTGTCAATTTCTTTAAGATATATTCCAGTAATAAAATATGTATCTATTTGCCAAATTAATACGAATTTGTCAATGGAAATATGGGTTTGTATTTCTTAACTCTACACCTTGTGGGAATCATCTTTATTTATCCCAATTGCTCTACTTGGCTTTCTACAATTATGTAGATACACTACGCACATAGAAACATCGTTTGGCTTTATCAAAAGATAATGAAACAAAAATACCTTAAAGAAACAGCTAAATAACTCATGTTTTAATTTTGATACCACATTTACCAATATCTATAACTGAAGTTTGGATTCCTAGGTGCTTTTATAATAAAGCTGATCAGTTTTCATGAATGAACTCAAGTTGTTATTTTTTGAAAAGCAAATCAAAGTGATGCGATGTGTGGATGGGGGATTCCTCTTTTCTGGGCCTCCCTTCCTGTTTTAATCTATCTTGTACGATGCTCCTGTTTGTCAGTTTTTTCAACTATTGAAAATTGTCCTTTTTCTTGAAATTTCACTTTTTCCAAATCTTAAAGGATTAGAGACTTCTGTTTTGGTCTTGTTGTGATTTGATCCTTACTAGCTGAACCAATTCCTGTTGGCATGTTTTTGCATATATATATATTTATATAATATTATATATATATATTTATATAATATTATATATATATATATATATTTATATAATATTATATATATATATATATGTATGTATGTATGTATATACAAGGAGATTTGTTGATTGCAGAGCTCAGAGAAATGAAATAGTTCTATCCCACATAATTTTTATCTCTGATAAACCAATTTTGGATTTTCAAAGTATGTGATGTTGCTGACTTAATGTTCAAACTTTCAGGCATGCTCATCCTGGAAATCCGTATGTATATGGACTTGCTGAGGTTGATCATGATCTTAACTTTCCAGACCCAATGCCTGTAGTAGGTATGGAATTTTTTTTTAAACCTATTTAGACTACTAATTAGAATTTTAATATTCTAACAGTAATCTATATTATACTTGGTCTCTTCTCTTCTTTTTAAGCAATTGCATAGCTTTAGTTCCTGCTTGCTTTTGTAGCGTTTTGATGGGCCTCCTAATGTGGGTATATCAAAGAAAGAAGAAAGGGATGAGGGTCAGGGATGGAAATGCAAAGGAGTTGGTGAAGGAATCTGCTTTGGAGGGAAGAGAGAATTCTAGTGGAATGGACACTTGCAGCTGTGAATTGGAGGGATGGATGCTGAAATCATGGGAGAAGGAGTGAATCTAGTGGGGGAAGAAGTTAGGGGGAGGGAAAAGTAACCAGGAAAGAATTTAGTGGTGGCGTAGGCCTTGGGGCAGAGATAGCTCACTGCTTTTCTGACATTTCATTCTTTTTGTTCTCTCATATTTGTCTTGTCTTTACATTTTCTTCTGTTTCTACGTTAAATGAGCAGTGCTCCCCTTTTTTCACATTGATCCATTGTTAATACCGGGTTGTAAAAAGATGACTGGATTGTAGTCTGGGGTTGGTGAGATAAATCATAAATGAATGTTAAGTGGGACAAGACGACCGTTACGGGGCAATGTCGCAATTTGGAAAGATTTCTTGTTTGGATATGCAAAGGGATCAGAGCTCTTTAGTCCATTTATTTATTTTGTTTCCTGATCTGTCTTTCTGTTTATAGAAGGTATTTTATCCTGTTAGAGTGTATCAGAATAACAGTGTGTTACTTCTAGCCTAAGTTCTTTTAGTCTGTTAGACAGTTTACTAGTTTGATAACGAACCAGCTGCCAGCTGGCATAATTAAGTAGTTAGGTTAGTTGCTAACTTCACGCACATAAATATATGTACCTGAACATTAGAAGGTTCAATTAAGAATCCAGATACAGTATTTCAGAGATTATATTTCTCCTATCTCTTTCTACATTTTCTTTTACTGTCTCTCGTTTTATTCTAGTTCTTTAATCACCATTGTCCTCTAACTTTCAGTCTTCATCTCTGGCTCCCACTCAGCCAACTATGCACTCTACATTGTTGAGTCAGATTCAACGGCTTCTAGCTTTTGATTTTGACTCTTACCCCTACTTGCTGTATTGTCCAATCCATCCTTTTGCCCTTGGGGATTTCTAAGAGGAGGAAGAGGTTGGTTTTGCAGATTCAGAGGGAGAGGTGGTTGTTCTGGCTATCACAACTCCATTGCTTGCCAAATGTGCCAGAAATCTGGTCATTCGTTATCCTCGATTTGATCAAAATTTCACTCCTCAGCTTTACTATCCTTACAACAATCCATTGTCAAGTGCTTTGCGGTATACACAAGCTCATGGTTATGACTTTCATCTTCAACCAATTGGATAACAGACTACACTTCCTTAGCCATTTTCATCACCATCACAATATCAACAACCTCAGTTGTATCCTCCAATTCCGTCACCGTTCAGACAGTCTGGTCACTCTATGCTTTTCACGTAAACCATACTTTGATCCTCAGCTCAGTCATCAGCACATACCATCAGCTCAGCTCTGGTTTTGTACCCCTGCTGCAGCTACCACATGCTTTGTTAGCTGCACCTACTCACTACTTCTGTAGAAAATCCTAATTAATTACTTGTAAATATTTCTGTATATTGAGGATATCATCATCTCCCTAATTTATGGGGAATCAATTAGGATTAATTTCCTCTTTCTTTTAATTAGGATCGATTTTGTAATTATTTAGTTTCTCTTTTTCTCATAGGTTACCTGTATATATTTTAACCTACTGTTGATCAATTAAGTCAATACATGAAGTATTTTCACAATCCAATCAGGCTTGGCATCCTGAATTCTTGATTCTGTAGCTGCTCATGATGTCACTGTAAATCAAGAAAATCTTTATGAAGCTCTGTACTCTTGGGCTCAGACCAAGTCTTGATGGTTAATGGTCAAGGTGTGTCAATAACTTTAGTTGGCACTTCCAAATAAATTCCTCACTGTAACCAGTAACCACACACCACATTGGTCCTCAATAATCTCTTCATCCCTTCCATTACCGAAAACCTGGTCAGTGTTAGTTAGTTTGCAAGGGATAACTCTTGTATTTTGAATTTCACTCCAATAATTGTTTGTCAAATTTCAGGTTTCCCATCAAGTACTCATGGGGGCTCTCTTGGAGCTGATGGTCTATACAAATTTCATAATCTCTCCCTGCTTGGAGAAACTATGTTTCCTCTCTTAGTTCAATCTTCTAATAGTGTAACATCTAATACTGTACCTACTACTCTAGTTTATGAAGTTCCTATGCTTTCTGCCACATCCTACCCTACTTGGCACTGTAGGTGTTGAAATTATAGGGATTTAGGTAGGGAAGGGAGAAAAAAAGAGAATGAAGACTGAACAATATGAAATTGGTATTGATTTGATGTGTTATTATGATGTGATACAAACTACGAACCACTAATCCCTATTTAAAGTTGTAGGAAATTAGGACTAAAATATTTTCGTTTTTATTTTCTATTAATTAGTGGATAGGACCAATGGCTCATTGCTGAGTCATCCTTATCTATTTTTTCTCATTCTTTTTTGTATAAATCTCCCTATCAGTGTAAATCATTTGAATCAATTCAGAAAAAACATTTTTTTTTATATTTCAATAAAAGTAAATTAGACTAAATCCTAATTAAATGGGAATTAAATTATGAAATATGAAGAAGGAAACTATTCTTAGTAGGTCATATAAGATACTATTAACTATTCTAAGATACAATCAAGATATTGAAAGTTAATTTTCATATATTCTAGCACTCCCCCTCAAGCTAAAACTTACTAAACTTTAACTTGTTACAAATGATACCTTTAAAATTGAAAAATAACCAAATAATATAATATGGGCTCCACAAAACGTATCTGGAAAGACAACTTAGAAATGTGGCCACTGTCCAATTTGGGTGTCAATGGGTTCTGGTTATGGCAAGTTGGGGTGTAGAAGACAGGTAGGCTACATTGCAGTCACACACTCACACCTGTAAGTTCTGATGCCATATTGAAATCTGAACAGTGAAAGTTGGATGAGGTCCCATCAAGAGCAAACTGCAAACAAGAGCCTACACTACCGGATTTTGAAGACTTAATAGGCAAGTTGAGGATGATCAACATTTACCTTCCAAATTGAGAGGGAGGGTGGCAAATCCTTGTAATTATTGTAATTAGAATTTGTAGGTATCAACAAGGATAGATATGATTTTTTTTCTCAAATTTATTGTACTTATGTTGTTTCATTTTTTATCCTTATGCTCTCATCATATATTGTAATCTCATATTGGGAGAATTACATGAAGAACACAGTTTTCACAATTTGCAATTCTTAACTAAAACTACATCTTTTGACAACATTGGAAGGTTCAATTTGGATGATTTTTTTTTTTTTTTTGTAGGAGTATCTCATTCTGCGAGGGGCTATTGCATTAGTTTAGTCCTAGAGACCATGAAGACATATTCTTCAGAAGATTGTTTGACAGAAGAAGCAGTAGTGGCAAAGCTTCGTACTTGTCAATACCATCACTTGTTTCTGCATACGTCGTTGAGGCAGAATTCTTCTGGTCTGCACTTTCTCATTCTTTTTTTCTATATTTTTATTTTTAATTTTTCATTTTTAATTTTAGGCCAAATTTTAGTACCCAGAGGTGACTTGATATGAAGGACATGGCAAAGTACATATAATTAGATTTTTATGTTCCTAGCTGTACCTAGATTTTTCTGTTTTCGAGGATCCTATCCTCTACTTAGTTGTATTTTTTCTGTTTTCTGTAGTATTTTTTTTTTGTATATATAAAATACTGAAAAATATTAAATTATATGACCATAGTCATTTCAGTGCGGTGTTTAATTAATTATTCTATAAGAGAAAAAATGGTGTGTGTGGAAAAGAATATCATATGAGAGATAGAAATATCCTTCTTACTACATGCTACCTCAATACCCAACAAATACTATATTGTACCAAGATATGTGGAATTGTTTTTGAAGAGAGAGGGAGAGAGGGAAATCCTCTTACTTGATTTCTTTTAGGCTCCCTGTACATGTATTTATACTAATGTATAAGAAAGGTACCCTTCTTGCTTCATGCCACCTCAATACCCAAGAAATACCTTACTGCACCAAGATGCTTTGTGTGGAATTGTGTTTGAAGAAAGGATTTGCAATCTTTGATTTTGATTCATCACTCCCTCTAACAACAATATCATCTGCATATACCCTTAGGTAAATGCAACCATCATGAGAATGGTAAGAGAAGACTGAGTGAATAAAACTGCTTTGCTGAAGTCCTAATTGCAAGATAGCAAGAGTCTTGACTGAAGATCTGGTAGGGGCCCAAAATGGTTTATGTGCTAAACACTTAACAACACTCTAGAGCCCGTTGGGCATAAAGTATGGATGATGCATAGGGCCATTGGGACTTGTGTAGAAATATAATTTAATAATGAAGAATGGTGGCAGTAAATATTGGAATCCTGATCACTTGGTCATAAAGGCCTTGATAACATGTTAAAGATTAACTCCCAAAAATATAAATTTCCAAGTGAAGTCCCAAAAATGATTTTATATCTTTAACACATACTAGTAGTGTTGCTTTCTAACAGTGTGCGTGGTCACTGCATGTATGTGTGTATATTCCTGTCTAGGATCATTAACTGAAAAGATGGTTAATATCTTGACTTTATTAACCATTACTTTAGTTAATTCATTATGAATTGGAAATTTGTTGATCAGGATATCCTGAATTGTAATTCTCCCTCTGATTGGTTGATTTCCTGCGGAATGTTAAGAGGGAATTTCTCCTCACAAAATATGCATGGTACATTTGTAGTTTTCTGCATTCTAGTTATGTATTTGGGTAGTGTTTTTTCAGGCACATGCCACTGGGGAGAATTTGGTGAGGGGGGCCTCTTGTGGGGAGAATGTAGTTCCAGACATTTTGAATGGTATGATGGCAACCCTGTCTCCGATCTTTTGGTCAAGGTATGATTCTAAATAAGTAAATGTCTTTTGTATGTTTATTTTGAATGTATTGTGTGATGAATAATTGAGATTTTTAAATGTGTGCCTTACTTTGGAACATAGGTAAAAGAGCTTTATGGTCTTGATCATGAGGTTATATTTCGGAACACAACCGTGTCTTCAGGAAATAGGGCTCGACCTTTAACTCTTGGAACTTCTACTCAAATTGGTCAGCATATTAAGCATTGATGAAAAATTTATGCTCACTGGTTTTTTCTTTCTCCTAAATCTGCCTGTCCTGCATTTTTAGGTGCCATTCCAACTGAGGGAATACCTTCTTTGTTGAAGGTCTTACTTCCATCACATTGCAATGGATTACCTGTATTGTGAGTAAGGGATTATTATATTTTTTGTTATGTGGTATCTTTGGAAATTATTCCATGCTAGTTTTTGACCAACTCACCATTTGAAATTTCCATATTTACTGGTTTGTTGATTCTATCTTTATCCTTTTCATTGTATATCATCATGCCCAATCTAGTTACAACCTTGCTCTCTACTTTTTCATTATAAATGCTTCCCTGAGTATAAATGACTGCCAGAATTTTTTTCTTTTTGTATAAAGACTTCATCTGGCTGCATTTTGCATTTCACCCTTTCTTGCATTTTCATATAATTAAAAAGAGCTTGAAGTATAGTCTTGTAGTGATAAACTCTGGATCCCATGGCAAATTTATACTCAGAAATTGCAGAATGTATTTTCTATTATCATGATAATTCTAGTACATACTGATACTATGGACTTGAATGGAGAAATACTGAATATTATTTTTGAACAGATATTGTACTTGGGGTTCATTCTAATATATATGCCTAACTAAATAATTATTTTTTTTAATATAATGATTAAACTATGGTAACAAAATATTTACAATAATTAAAATGATTTACAAAGAATATTATGTTGTGAAGTGTGCTGGACTGATGTGGGACTTATTTTAACACTACCCCGTAAGCTGGTGAATGGATATCTATCATTCCCATTTTGCTAGTAACGTTCCAAAACCACTATGTAGGAGGTCCTTTAGTTAACACATCTGCTAGCTGAACCTTTGGGAACATAAACCATACTTATCCATCCACTATCTAGTTTTTCCTTTATGAAATGCATGTTTATTTCGATATATTTAGTTCTGTTATGCTGAACCACAATATGATCGACAGTAAAAGTCCTTAACAATCATGTATAAAGTACAAGAGTCATATGGTTTACTAAGGGAGTCAATAAGTGATTGAAGGCATCTCTGGTTTTCCTTACTAAGGGCTGGTACTACATTTGCCACCCTTGGGACCTCGTCTATGGTATTAGACATGATGGACTGAGGAGTAGTGTGGTTTTGGGTAGTGATAGAGTGATGGGTAATCTCTGTATGTTGTGGGTATGGATAACAAGATAGTGTCTAGGACACTGTAGCAAACAAGAGGAAGTTTTGAGGGCTTGCTGTTTAGTGAAAAGAGTGTGCAAGATGATGTATAAGGCGAGGGTGTATCTAAGTAGAGGAAACTGAGACAAGTTCAATGGCACCAATGGTACGCATATAGAGTTGGGATGCGCCTCTATAAGAGGCATGTTGACTCACACATATTGGCGCAAGAGCGTGTGGAGGGGTTGTTGGAGATGGTAGGTTGGCCAGCGGATGATTATTCTTTTGGTGAGATTGCTAGTTAAAAAGAGGATGGTGGCTGGCGGCAGACAGTTGTGGCTGTGTCAATTAGAGTGGGTGAGGAGGTATTCGGTGTGATGAAGGCACAAAATGAAATGTCAAACATGCTGCAATTATGGCAAACTAGTGTTTTTCAAGAGAGTAGGTTCTCCATTGGACCTCTCAAACCAACTTAAATGAGAAAACATTGAATATTAATTCTAAATAATACTTTGCATGGGGTTTATTCTATTATATAGAACTTATTGAAAAAGGTTTTCAGTATATCGATATTGAATAATTACATGAGGAATGAGGAGTATTTATACAAGAAAAAATAGCGAAGCATGACTCACCAAATCTAATCACAATCATAAGAATGACTCAGCTATGACTCACTAAACCTAATCACAATTAATTCTAATTAATTACAATTAATCCTAATTAATAGGAAATAAAAAACAATCAATCCTAATCAATCTTAATTATTCCTAATTAATAGGAAATAAAAACGGAAAAATACTTGAATTTGAATTCTGATCTTCTACACTCCCCCTTAAGTTGGGAGGTAAATGTTGATCATTCCCAACTTGCCAATCAAGTCTTCAAAGGCTGGCCGGTGTAGGCCCTTAGTGAGAATATCTGCAATCTGCTCTTTGGTAGGAATATACACCATACATACACTTCCATCATCTATTTTTTCTTTGATAAAGTGGCGATCAACCTCCACATGTTTTGTTCTGTTATGGTGAACTGGATTTTGAGCAATACTGACAGCAGCCTTATTATCACAATACACTCTGACAGGTAGGGAAAAAGAGATCTTCAATTCCTCAAGGAGTCTTCTTAACCAAATTCCTTCACAAATACCATGGGCTAGAGCCCGAAATTCTGCTTCTGCACTGCTCCGGGCAACAACTGTTTGTTTCTTACTTCTCCAGGTCACAAGATTTCCCCAAATATAGGTGCAATATCCTGAAGTGGATCTTCGGTCCAATGCAGAGCCAGCCTAATCTGCATCTGTATATATTTCAATCATCCTCTTGTGTCATCTTTTAAAGAACAATCCTCGACCAGGGGTGTTTTTAAGGTACTTCAGAATTCTATAAACTGCACTCAGGTGTTTTTCCTTAGGAGAATGCATGAATTGACTAACCATGCTAACTGCAAATGCAATATCAGGTCGAGTGTGAGATAAGTAGATCAACTTCCCCACCAATCTCTGATACTGCTCTTTGTCAACTTCTTTCCCATCTACGATTCCCAATTTAATATTGGGTTCAACTAGAGTCTCTGCTGGCTTGCACCCAAGCATTCCTGTTTCTTGTAACAGGTCTAGAATATATTTCTTCTGAGTTAAAGAAATTCCTGCCTTACTTCGAGCAACTTCCATGCCTAGGAAATATTTGAGAGATCCAAGATCCTTCAGTTCAAATTGATTAGCTAAACATTTCTTCAAAGAGCTTATCTCCTCACAATCATTACCTGCGACAATTATGTCATCAACATAAACAATGAGAATAGCAATTTTACCACCATTAGAGTGTTTTAAAAATAAAGTGTGATCAGTCTGAGCTTGGAGGAATCCTCTTCCCTTAACAGCTTGAGTAAACTTCTCAAACCACTCTCTAAGAGATTGTTTAAGACCATAGAGAGACTTTTTCAACTTGCATACTGAATCGTCTCCTTTTTCAAAACCAGGTGGTGGATCCATATAAACTTCTTCATGTAGATCACCATTCAAGAAAGCATTCTTTACATCTAATTGTTGCAAGGGCCAACCAAGATTTGCAGCAAGTGATAAAAGAACTCGGATAGTGTTAAGCTTGGCAACAGGGGCAAATGTCTCTTGATAGTCTATCCCATGAGTTTGAGTGAATCCCTTAGCAACCAGTTTGACCTTATACTTGTTGATGTTGTTATCTGCATTAAACTTTATTGTGAACACCCACTTGCAACCTACTGTTTTCTTTCCTCTGGGTAATGCTACAGACCCCCAAGTTCCATTTTTGTTGAGTGCATCCATTTCTTCAAAGACTGCATTCCTCCATTTTGGATCATCAAGTGCTTCTTGGATATTTTTTGGTATTTTTGTACTGTCTAACATAGTGTTGAAGGCACGAAAACCTGGGGACAACTTTTCATATGTGATATGATGAGAAATAGGATGAGCAGTACAAGATCTAGTACCTTTTCGGAGAGCAATAGGCACATCTAGGTTGGCTGTATCAGTGTTGCTGGAACTAAAACTCGAGTCAGAATCCTGGCAGTCTAGAGGCTCCTGAGGTGATTCTCGCCTGCTGTAAAACTTTCCCCATTTCCCGGGAGGTTCTCCATTATCTGACACATTAACTCCCCCTGTCTTTTGCATAATGACTCCCCCTGTCTCCAATGGCAAAGGCAAAACAACAGAATCATTTGGTTTCCAAGACTTATCTTCATCAACCCCAATAGACTCCCCCTGAAGAGAAGTCGAAGGAAAAAAAGATTGTCTCTTATCAAATGTGACATCCACAGAAACAAAGACCTTACGAAGTGAAGATGAGTAACACTTGTAGCCCTTTTGGTTAGGAGGATATCCTATGAAGACACATTTAATGGACTTAGGATCGAGCTTGGACCTTTGATGGGGAGGAACATGTACAAAAGCCACACAACCAAACAACTTGGGAGGAAGGGAAGAATGAGCCCGGAAAGAAGGAAAGGTGTGGGTAAGACAAGATAAAGGAGATTGAAAATTTAGGACACGAGAAGGCATCCGATTGATGAGGTATGCTGCAGTCAAGACAACTTCCCCCCACAAATATTTAGGGACATGCATGGTAAACATAAGAGCTCGAGCAACTTCAAGGAGATGTCTATTTTTTCTTTCAGCCACCCCATTTTGTTGAGGGGTGTTAGGACAAGAACTTTGATGAAGAATACCATGCTGGCTGAGATAGTTTCCAAGAATAGAATTAAAATATTCAGTACCATTGTCAGTTCGAAGAATTTGGATAGAGGTCTGGAACTGAGTTTGAACCATAGCATGAAAGTTTTTAAAAATGGATGCAGCGTCAGACTTATCCTTTAGAAGGTATACCCAACATACCCTAGAGTGATCATCTATGAAAGTTATAAACCAACGAGAGCACCAGAGATATTTTTTTCACGGGCTGGACCCCATATATCACTATGAATCAAGGTAAATGGAGAAGAATCATGATGGACTCTAGGAGGATAAGAAACACGAGAATGTTTTGCAAGCTGACAAATATCACAAGAAAAAGAACTGGGATTGTTATTGATAAATAAGCTTGGGAGCAACTTCTGAAGATAAATGAAATTTGGGTGTCCTAACCGACGATGCCACAACAAAACATCATTAAGATCATCAGACAAACATACCGAGTGGTTCACAAATTTTTTTCCTTCATAAGAATCTTTTTCTAAATAATAAAGTCCTTCTTCCTCTTTAGCACTGCCAATCATCAGCCCCGAGTCCTGTTCCTGGAAAACACAAGCATTGACAGAAAACTTGGCAACACAATGTAACTCAGACGTAAGTTTGCTGATAGAGATAAGGTTACAAGTAAGAGAGGGAACATGAAGCACTGAGTTCAAAGTAATGTGTTCAGAAAGTTTAATGGATCCTTTTCCAGCAATAGTAGAGAAGCTGCCATCTGCTGTTCTTATTCGTAATT